TAATCAAAATGGCTGATCTTTCCCTAATCAAAATGGCTGATCTTTCCAGCTACTCCTAGATGGCTTTAACACTCATCCAGTTATTGATCTAATCTTTTTCTTTTTTTTTAAGATCCAGGATCGCAACCTATTACTGTCTTGTCTTTTTCGGAATGCGATTGCCTGAAGCTTGTGGGTCATCTCTGGCTCTTCTTTTCTACCCAGTTCTAAAAGCGAAACAATATATTTTTTTTCCTCCCTCCAGTCTGATTTTAAGGCAAAGGTCTCCACACTTGGCAAGACTTTGTGGACATAGCTGGCTGAGGAATTCTGGGAGTTGAAGTCCACAAGTCTTAAAGTTGCCAAGTTCGAGGGCCCCTGTTTTAAGGCTTCATTGTGGAAGGCGAGATGGGGAAGAAAGAAAAGAAAACAGTGGGAGGTGTTTTTTTTAAAAGCCTTCAGCCTCCGCTCTGACCAGGCCTATTCCTCAAAGGGAGTTGGGTGACTGGCCTACGTGAATAGCATTCCAAGGCTCTTTAATTTGCTACACCCCGACATTAAAAACGGGGAATCGGATACAACCTGGAGGCAAAAACCCCACTGACGAAATCTCTCTCAGGCAGACCTGAAAACTTAGCTGTGGTCCTTTCATGCTGCTTTATTCAGACCAGAGTTAAGGTTTCAGGATTCTTAGAAACAGCATCACATTTGGTCTTAAATGTTGCAGTTCGACGGGTGGCCATTTAAGAAGCCGCAGCAACAGATAGTAAAGCTGTTCTCTTTACTGTAATTAAACCACTTCGGTGTTGCAAGCTTTCCTGCAGGGATACACCCACCCACCTATCCCACTCGCTCACCTCCCCGATATTTTGCTTCCCCAATAATTTTGGGCAGAAGTATCTTGTTCTTGAATTGACACTAGCAGTAAATTAAGACAGTGGAAATCATGTATAGTGATCAGCGAGAACTATAAAAAGGTTCACCAAACATTGGAAGAAGAGGCAAGGCTGTAATAGAGATTTAGTTGGATGATTGTAAAAAGTAGATTATATTGATTCTACAATTGAAAAGCTACTTTGCCTATGTCTGCAGCGCTTACAGGGTGGGAAGCTTATGAGCAAGACAGCTCAACAGGTTTCTAGCATAGATGAGAATTCTAGTTTTTTATAGGAACATAATTGTATCTATTTTTCCACTGGCTTGATCTGTTTGCTACTTCACAAAACTTTAATATAGCTAATGAATTTTGGAGATTGAGCATTTGCCTCATTTAGCATCTCTGGAGCTGAATATCTGAGGTAGTTCACGAGAACTGATTTCTTTTACCCTAGGTTAAGTACCTGGGTTTGCTCTTGTTTTTGTTTTTTTCTTCAAATGAGAACTTCAGAGTTTCCTGGAAAGTTCATTATGAGGAATAGGAATGCAGATCGTAGTAGAGAGGCTCGACTTGCCTATTTGGGGGGGAAAGTTTATTAATGAATTATTTGTATTTATTTTAAACAAAATAAATTTGTAACTTTGCAGTGTTTGGTGTTTTTTTCTGGTCCAGAACAGTGTGTGAAGGGGGGGGGGGGAGAGGAGAAATATTTTTCATTAAAAATAACTGAATGAGCAGAACTTTAAAAAAATATTTAAAAGCCTTTTTCTTTCTTCCTTCCTTTCTTTTCCTTTCCTTTCTTTCCTTCCTTCCTTCTTTCCTTTCTTTCCTTCCTTCCATTATTTCTTTTCTTTCCTTCCTTCCTTTTCCTTTCTTCTTTCCTTCCTTCCTTTCCTTTCTTTGGCTTAGGTGCTAGGAAAGGTGCGTCAGGATTACAACCAAGCTAGTTTCCAACCGATATCCTTGCATATCTGGAGGATGGCAGCTTACTGAAGGGCATCTAATTAGGCCTGTTATGAAAGGATAAAAAGGGGGCTTAAGTAGCTATAAATTGGCATTTGAACAACCTGGGACACATGAAACCTGAGCAATTGGTGACTTGCCAATTCCAAGCATGTGAGATTAGTGGCATGCAGAGGTTGAAGACATGGTCACCTTGTCCACTGATTTGTCCTTGCCACTTGAAAACATAGCCCTTCTGGGGGAAAACCAGAAGGCACAGGTTGTTGACTTTCAAGGCTTTGACAGCAGGGGTCCCAAACGGGTGGGATTCAAATTTTTTAACAACCGGTTCTGTGGGCGTGGCTAAGTTGGTGGACATGGCTTGGTGGTCCTGTTATTGGCTGGGTGTGGCCAACTCAATATCACTCACATCGAGGCACGCATCTCCTCAACTGGCGTCTCATGACTCTGGGGATGCTGCAACAGTCGTAAGTGTGAAAAATGGTCATAAGTCACTTTTTTCAGTGCCACTGTAACTTTGAATGGTCACTCCACACAAGCAAAGCACCAGCAAAGGAGAGGGGAAAACCTCCAGAGACGTTCCTGAGACAGGAAGTCTAGTCCTGCCAAGAATGTAATAAGGATTAACGGAGAGGCAGTTTCTGTAAGCAACACCAGAATGTTTCCTTCCTGCCTTCCTTACAGGATTAGGCCAATAATTTATTCTAACAACTGGTTCTCTGAACTGCTTAGATTGTTAACAACCGGTTCTAGCGAATAGGTGCGAACTGGTAGAATCTTACCCCTGGTCCCAAATCTCTGGGCCGCAGATTGGTTTCTGGTCCATGACCCGTTAAGAACCAGGCCACACAGCTGCAGGCGAGCAAGCAAAATTTCTACACAGATATGGGATCTAGGTTGCGTGTGACATCCTCCCCCTCCCCTGCCGGTCCATGGAAAAATTGCCTTCCACAAAACTGGTCCCCAGTGCAAAAAAAAGGTTGGGGAAACCAATCTCCCAGAATTCCCAGGCCAGCCTTGCCATCTTCAAGTTGAAAAAGCTGTTCAGGGAAGCAATGTCCTAGCATTGCTCCTCCTTCCTTTATGCACAGCTCAGAAATGCAGGTTGTGGATTGGATAGAAAATCCCCCTTTTTCTCTACGTAATTTCTCACACGTCTCGGCCCACCGCTGGTTAGCCCAAACAGACAACAGGCTAGTAACTTTTTGTGAGCTTCTTTTGCAAAGTGAAGTGCCACTATGAACTGAACTATCTGAAATAGGCAGGAGAAGGGGAAGGCAAACGGGTTCAAAAATTAAATATCCCATGAGTTCCTTTGCAAATGCTCATCCGCGGCTTTCTTTATTGCAACTTTGTGCCTGATAGATCGGAAACCTGATGGTAAAAAATTGGTTTAGTGTCTCTTTCACGCAGCTGTAAATACATGCAAAGACCTTTTTTAACGGCTTGCTTTCCAACAATGATTTCCCAGCATCCCTTCTAAAATCCACAGATTGAGCCAAAGGTAGCTTTGAACTGCCATGGTGAGAGAGGGGGGGGGGGGGAACAGAGAGAGAAAGAAGAAAAAGCACAGAGAGAGAGGAGAGAAAAAAAAGAGGAGAAAGAAATGAGAGGAGAGACAAAGCAGAGAGGAGAGAAAGCAGAAAGAAAGAGGAGAGAGAAAGAAAGAGAAAGCAGAGAGACCAAAGAGGAGAGAAAGCAGAGAAGAGAGAAAGAGAAAAAGAAGAGAAAGCAGGAGAGAGAGAGAAAGAGGAGAGAGAAAACAGGAAAGAAAGGAGAGAAAGCAGAGAGGAGAGAAAGGACACACACACACACACACACACACATACACACAGCTTCCTTCTCACCTGCCCCAGGAGAAACAGTTGCAATAACAACAACAAAAGCCCCCAACCTTTTATTATTAATTTTTAACCCTCTGTAAAATCAGAGCAGTAATACATTGTAGGTCATGGCAGCTTGTTTTTCCTCTTGTTCTTCTCTCCCTCCCTCCCATCAACTCCTGTCAAGTTAATTAGCAATTTCGGAGTAAGCGTGATAATGAGCTAAGTCAGCAAAGATGTCATTGGGGTTCTTGCAGCTCAGATTGCAGAAACAGGCATTAATCCACATGATTTTCCTGGAAAAGTCGGTCCCTTCCGGGCAGTGAAAATGGACTTCGATGGTCTTCGATTTGTAGGGGCTACAGCAACGGTCATCCAGACAAAGGCCACAGTACTTGGGCCTGTAGCTGACCTTACTTGTGCACCCGGAGAGCGTATAGTTCATGGGCTCCTCTCCTCTGTACACTGCTAAGCATTTCTTCCCAGGCTACAAGATGGGAAGAAAGAGAGACAAAGAGAATTAATCGTGGATGGTGCAAATTCGATCAAGTTGACCAAAACGGACATCCTTTCAAACTTTTCAAAAAAAGAAAAAGGAAAGGAAAAGAAAACTTAAAGGCAGTCTTTAACTTATGACCATAACTGAGCCTAAAATTTCTGTTGCAGGAATTGGATATGTCTAGTCCAGTGGTGGAATTCAATTTTTTTTTTACTACCGGTTCTGTGGGCGTGGCTTGGTGGGCATGGCAGGGGAAGGATACTGTAAAACCTCCAGTCAGAGGTGGTATTTGCCGGTTCTCCGAACTACTCAAAATTTCCGCTACCGCTACTCCAGAACTGGTCAGAACCTTCTGAATTCCACCCCTGGTCTAGTCTAGAGAAAAGAAGGACTAGGGGTGACATGATAGCAGTCTTCCGATATCTAAGGAGCTGCTACAAAGAAGAGGGAGTCAAGCTATTCTCCAAGGCACCTGAAGGCAGAACGAGAAGCAATGAGTGGAAACTAAACAAGGAGAGAACCAACCTTAGAACTAAGGAGGAATTTTCTGACCGTTAGAACAATTAATCAATGGGACAGCTTGTTTCCGGAAGCTCTAACACTGCAGGTTTTTAAGGAAAGATTGGACAACCATTTGAAGTTGACTCAGCCTTCCATCCCTCTGAGGTCCATAAAATGAGGACCCAGATTGTTGTGGGGGGGAGCAATATGTTGACTCTGTAAACCGCTCAGAGAATTCTGTAAAGCAGTAGCCTCCAACCTTTGGG